CATAGGTTCATTGCAATAAACTCAATTTTCTGAATCGCTAGTACCCTGTTTAGGGAGCTTGATCAAGAATCTTTATATTCGACGCAAAACCCCAATGAATTCCTTCATTAATATAATCGGTCAAGACAGGACAGGATTTATTTAACTCTACAAGTAATGTCTTCAGTTGCACTGCGTTGCATTATACGGAATAACGTCAACGACCTAACTCTCAACCATATTAGTTACGTGTGATGTATACACACGTAAAGCTGATTAAACTTCTCCACCTGAGGATATCCGGTTCCTTTAATGCTGAATGTGACTTTAGGGGATACGGTAACCTACATAACACTAAGCACGACGATTTGAAATACTTAGATGTGTGTATACACAAAAGACATACGTACATTGCAGCAAGTGCGTCACGGGCCGTTGTTGTTTTAATTTCAATGACGTTTTCTACTTTCACAATATCAGCACTGGTTGGAACACAAACTTGATATAAGTCAAGTATACAATGCGTATTGTGAGGTACACAATTGAAAAACAGAGCACTTCCATCTGCGTCTAATGTATGTCTATTTGTATCTACTGCATGTATTTTTCATCAATTTATTCATCACGTGAACAGATATTGTCAAATATAACACGTTTTTGTTAATTCAAAATTGCAGCTATTTGTTTTTCCAACGATTGCATAGCGCTGTTTCATAGTTGATTCGATGATCACACAGGTGTAGTGTATTTTGTTGTTGCGCCAGAAACATGGTCGTAAGTTGCGCGTAAAACTATACACAGCGGCGAACATCGAAATTTGGATCGATCCATACCCTGGAATGCGATTTTCTGAGATTTGTAATGGTTTTGCCGGGCAGCTGATATTATTCAACATGGTCTAATTGACGGCAAGTATAGATAGAAATCGTTCGTCAATTAGAAAAAAACTAGGCAATTTTTTTCTGTCTGTGCATATACATGGCATTTTCACAGTTAGTTAATTTATATAAATAGACAATTATGAATTATGTCATGGCATTGTATTATCTGAATTTGGTTACAAGAACTAGTGTAACAAGTGAAATGAAATCGAAATTTCAATTCTTCACAGTTTGTAATTATAATACGTATGTAAATATAAGATTTCCGGGATATAGTTTCCTGGATCGAATGGAATATCGTTTTTATTTTAGTTACATACACCACCATTGAGATATTCACACGGTGAATTTGTTCACTCTTAATATAATCAGTTGCAAATAAAATAATAATGTGTGTTCCTATATCAAAATGTTCTGATTAAGTATACATTTTCATGGTCACATGTACAGAAAATTGACATACTGCGAAAATAAAAATTGGACGTTAGGATTTCCTTGGTTGACCTTAATTATTGGTCTTCATTTACATCAACAATGTGCATTGCTTAATTTGCGTCCTAAGTGTGAACACCAACAACCAGACCTTATTGAATATATATCCAGTAAAGTAAATCATTTTCGGAGAGGCATAATCTGAACACTATCGGAAAACAAACATTATCATAACCGACTTGATTACAATTACATAAAAACATGCAAGTCACTCGAAATAATATGTCTGCTGCAAAGATTTATATCAACTTATATTGCTTAAGATTGTATGTCTGTAAGAATCACTGCAATCTGCCATTCGTGGTCGTCTGAATGACGTTGGATCTGAGTTGCTGGTTTGAAACAATTAACATTACAATTACATCGGCTACATATCTATAAACAAGAAATGTGTATATAGTATTGGGACATATCTCCTACTAAGCTACATAGTCTTCACAGATGATAATCTGTATGCCCTTGTACCACACAATATATTCAACAAAGAGTATATTCTTTGTTCTCCAGTGTTTCTACTTGGCGTTTGGCAATCCTATTTTTGTGGAGCGTGATGAAATAGTTATACCGCAC